GGTCCTAGGACTGTTTTTTAAAGAAGTACATACCCAAAGTTGAGTAAAAAAACCTTTAAAAAGTGAATTTTGCATAATAGGTCCCCTTTAAAACTGTTATTTGTACAACATGAGTTTTGTTATCGTCATGTTCCTGCAGGGGAACGAGCCCACGGCTCTGTCTGTGCTGACCCAGGCCATCACGGGTCAGGTCGGCTTCATGGACGTAGAGTTCTGCACAACCTGCGGGGAAAAGAGAGCTGAGAAAAGATGCTCCATCTGCAAAATGGTGAGCCCCGGAAGAGATTTACTGACTAATGTGTCCAATTGATCCATTTTTCTCCTGCTGACATCTGATTTACATTCAGGTCCAGTTATAGTTTTTGTTATTTTGTGTTCCAGGTTATCTACTGTGGCCAGACTTGTCAGAAAATGCACTGGTTCACTCATAAAAAGGTTTGCAAGCAGCTCCAAGAGCAACGAGAAAAACAGGAAGCAGAAGCGGCCAACCTGAGGGCGCAGCAGAGCGAAGGTATTTCTCCAGTTAAACACTCACTTGATCCATACAGAAACACCAAYAGAACCAATAAGAATGGTCTCATTTTTCACCTACAAACCAGATGTTTCCCACGATGATGTCTGACTAACAGGAATTGTTTCGTGGTGTTTCAGAGGAGACTACAGCGGAGCAGGAGGCCACAGACTCCATGCAGCAGCTGTCAGTGGAAACCAKCGGCAAACCCTCCTCTTTGGACTCTGCTGCAGAAACACCAGACTCCGTCACAGCTGCTGAGAAGTGAGGAYCATCCAGCACCTAACCCTGGGTCCAGGACACAAAGACTGAAACCCAGACAGAGTCCGGTCCAACACGAGAGAGGAAACTATATTTATTATAGCCTGGATCTGTCAGCAGAACATTACACCCGTCATCTTGTCTGTTCTGATGGAATATTCTGAATGTGCGCACCACAGAGGCTGATGTGTTGGTGTGGTCGAGTCTGTGGAAACACACAAAGAGCTAAAGGTTCACAGCACTGTTAAACCTGCCTTAAACTGTAGCAAACAAGTGTTGAGTCAGACGAGTTAGTTTGCTGTTTGAGTGTTTTTGGGACATTTGTTGAACCAATAACCTCTGTGTGTGTACTTAAAGCTGACCAAAAATGTAATCTGGTTATTTTTACGTGAGTTTAAGTTGGAGTTTTGTGTACTGAAATGTTTATGCTCAGGATTTTTTCAAATTAGAAGTAAATGAAAGTCTTTTTTTTTCCTAAAATTGAACATTTTTGTCCAGCATTGTTGTAAACAACACAGTAATATATTGTCAATTACAAATAAAAGAATCAATCAACCTAGATTATTAGATTTACAATGTAAAAAAATAAAATAAGTTTTATCCTCCAGCTGCAGTCAAGAGAATAACAGCTTAGATTTCAAGTTTAAAAGTGTGTGTGTGTGTGGGGGGGGTGTCTTTTTAATATATGTTTAGTGTAAAATTTAAAATAAATTCTGCTTTTTGCGATTTTCTCATTTTTCTGGAACAACAATCTGCAGGTGAGGAGAACTTCCACCTGAGGGCGCCGTTGTCCTAGAGTTACTAAATTCAGCTGAGTTTTGTTTACAGGTTCATTCGGTTGGTTTCTAAAATAAATTAAAATTAATATAAAATTATGGAATTTTGGATCATTGTGGTGCAGTTGAATAACTCAGCAAAACTCCACTGTGCCCAGATTTAAAAAAAAAATAACAAAAACCTTTTCATTGTTTGCATTAAAATCTAGAAGCTGCAAACACCTAAAACATGGGTCTGCAACCTTTACAGTCCAAAAGATCCATTTCTTCCTCCCGGCTCACTAATAAAATGTGTCCAGAGCCACAAAATGTGCTACAGCTGTGATTATCAACTGGTGGCTCGTGGGCCACTTTGTGTTTGTTGAAGGCGTGGTTTATGGCCAGTGGGGGCGACATTATAAAACAAAAAATAAGTAGTGAATTGAATAGTGAACATATTTTTACACTTCAGGTTTAAAAGCTTTATTGTAAACAAGAAAATAAGAGTTTATATTTAATAAAACATTCTTTTATTTTTATCTAATCAATTCATTTCTTCTCAGCAACTTTTCTTACATACTTCTAAAACATTCCTGATGGATACCTTAACGGGGACATCATGCAGAATTCATTTGTTTTAGCCCCTGAATACATTTTGTTGTGTAGACTTGGATTCTCTAGGAGGCAAAAAAAGTTAATTTAGTTTTTCTTGGTGCTGCAGGTGTCTTTATATTCTGTTTTGGTCACATTTTTCAACTTCTTCAGTTTTTTTTAAATATTACATCACAGTGTTTGCATTCAGTTCCACTTTATACATATCCCAACTCAGAGCCGGCTCTTGGCATAGGCGAACTAGGTGGTCGCCTAGAGCGCCATCTGCTGGAGGGGGCGTCGAACTGCAGAAGAAAAAAAAGTAATTATTTGTAATTACCTTGTTGTAACTCTGCTCAGCGCCCTTTTCAGTTAGCATTGTCCTAAAAACTATAATGAAGTAAGACTTGAAAAAAATCTGTGAGATTGCCGTATACCTGAAAAATGATGTAAAACCCTTATAACTTACGAACAATCCGTACAAATTGACATGTATGTTGTTATTAATTTGCTTTCTGGGAAAGCAAATAAATTTAAGTTTACCATAGTGCCTTACACTGTCAAACTTGTTTTTAGGGGTTCAAATTGGGGTGGGTGGGACATAGTTCGGT